TACATAAAGGTGGGTACTGACTTTTAGTCCGTACCCACCGTTAGTACTGCATTTTAGTCCGAACGAACCAAACGAACGAAGCGCGCACAAACAAACCGAACAATAAAAATGTTCGCGGTAGTCGATGAATTTATTTGCTCGTTGTGTTCCCATGTTCGCCAGTCACAATTAAAAATGGACGCCGAGAGTGTTGTCGTAGCTGCTGCTGCTTTTTTCTTGTGAAAACCATGACAGATATTGGCAAAGCGAAGAAAAAAAAACCAAAACGGGTGTGGACAAGGCGTTTATTTTTACGACGTAAAAATACGACCCTCCTAAGAGATATGGACAACTGTAACTTTACAAATTTCACACGAATATCTGCAGAAGACTTTCAAAAGTTAGTGCTACTTGTCGGTCCCAAAATTGCCAAAAAGGATATGAAATTTCGAAAAGCTATACCTGTACATGATGCTACAAAAGACTCCTATACCAGTTTGCAATATTTATTCAAAATTTCCAAGCAGCGCATCGGTGTCATAATTATAGAAACCTGCAACGCACTAATTCAAGGACTAAAGGATCAAGTAAAGGTATGTAAGTTTTTCATATTATCTCGTGGACTCATCCTGATCTAAAATCGTGTTATCAAGGCCTTGAGTGGTGAGGGTATCGGATAGGTTGGTGTACGACCTATTACTTGATGTTGTCGACGTTTGCAAATCTGGTAAAGCAGTAATACACATTTGGTAAGAAGTATTGCAAGAAGAGGGCAAAGGAGAAACTATTGTGGTTTGAATTTGTGGTGAAGATAAGGGCGTTTGATTGGCTGAGGATTGGTTTGAAGATGGGTATGGCGATTCAACATGATTGTAATATCCCATGTCAGCATTAAACAAGATACCATTAATATGGTTTTCGACTATACTTTGCACCCTTTTCGTGTAGCTTCTTAATTTATTAGCCACATGCTGTCCATATACGCAGCATCCATCAGTCTTAAGGGCACTATTTGCAATCGCGCTTCTTAAAATGCCCAAAGCCTCATCCATCTTGTGGTTATCATCCGGCTCACGTTCTAGTCTTTTTGTTTTTCTTAACGTTACGGTGGATGTAGCTGCCCCCACTGTCCGAGGCGTAGAAGTAATTATTTCCTGTGTTTTGGTGGCTGTTCCTTTAATATCTTCTTGAGCATTCACTGCAGTACCTTCATTTTCCAAGATATTTACAATTTCTTTTTCTGAATCAGTATTTTCATTCTGAAATAAAAAAACCTAGGTTTGACAAACGTTTAAAGGATAATATGTATAAGGTATATCAGAAAAACTACAAGCATAAATTTTAATTTTGATTATTTTTCAGGTGCCAACATGTTAATCCAGGCCCTTTTCAAAGTGGAAGTGATTTCTACAATTACAAATCAACTTTTAATATTGTCCTATTTGTTCTTGTGGATGCGGACTACAATTTCATATTTGTTGATGTTGGTTGTCAGGGCAGGATATCAGACGGCGGAGTTTTCAAAAATACGACACTTCAGAAGAAATTGCAAAATGGTACTTTAGGGTTACCTGATGATTCAGTGTTACCTAACCTGAACAAGATGTTACCGTATGTTTTTTTGGCCGATGAAGCATTTTCATTATCAAATCATGTACTTAAACCTTTTTCTGGGTTACATTCAAAGGGATCAATTGAAAGAACGTTTAATTTTCGGCTTAGTCGAGCAAGAAGGGTAGTAGAAAATGTTTTTGGGATTCGGTCTGCAGTTATTAGGGTACTAAGAAAACCAATATTACTTAGTCCTGAAAAAGCACAATTAGTTGTTTTGACAACTGTTTACCTACATAATTTTAAACGAAGCACATATAAAACAAATTTAGGAGTAACCTAAAAGATCTACATCGTAATCGAGAACACGTTAAAAAGGTGAAAAACAATAAATTCATGTGATTGGGTTAGAAATAAACACCCTACGCGCAGGTGCAGACCAAAGAATCAAATTCAAATATAAAAACTCTCAAAAATACATCAATGAATATCTTAACATAAATCGCCTAGGGATACATTGTAGATTCAACATATTATAATTCTCAAAATACAATCAAAAAATCAGAGATCAAGATAATTAGTTTAAATAAATAACTATATAGATTAGGAAATAGGTGTTTGGGATTATGTAATGGAGATAAAAAGGATGAATAAGGACTGGCTATTAAAAGGATATGTTTTGTGAGAAGGATCCTTATATAGTGCGAAAACTACCCTCACCATTAGGTAGAGATCCTCTTGTATATAAGGAATAAAAGAAGGGAAGTTAAAGGTATATAATTATGTGTCTGGTGGTTCAGATTTGAGATCGTATGGGTTATTCAAATATCGGTATAGGGGTGTCTTTTGTAATTGAACCTGGTCGTTCAAACTGTGCAAATCAGTTTTTGTGTGAATAAAACGATCTATTTCATATGAATCCAGTAATGTCAATTTATATCCCTTACCTTGATGATGTAATAGTTTTACGATTCGTAAAGTAAATTTCATGCCTGCCTGTAGTTAAGTAAACATTTAGGTGCCGAAATATAAACAAAAATTCTAATAAATAATACCTTTACCAGTTCCCATAGATTTTTTCCCCTTTCCCTTTTCCCTCCTGAAACTAGCAAGAAGGCTCTCCATCTTCTTTTTGCTTTCTCCAGAAGAACAACCAAATTGTTGGTCAATGATTGACCAAGCGTCAAATTTTTTTATTTTATTGTAATATTGTCCGTCTTTCGGATTCCACAACACGAGATGTTGTTCATATACATCAGTGTTTCCCAAAGTCTTTTGGCCCACGAACCCCTTTTATTAGTCAAACCTTGCCGACGGACCCCCAGGGTGAAAAACTACATTAAATACATAATAGAAAAATGAAGAATTTAATTTTGTTGTCTTAATGGTAAATGGTGACGTAAAAATAAAATATAAAGTAAACATTTTGTTGAAGAAGTATTTATTGATTATAACTTTTGTACTAAAAGACAATAAAATATTAATGGCTTGTATGAACCTGATGGGATGTTATGAGTTTATGTATGTCCGGCTCGATGTTTGTCAGTAGCAACCGCTAGTCCCCCCGATTACTAATTTCCAGTCTGTTTCTTTTCTTTGTGACGTTCTACCAAATACGAAGACGGAAAAGCAATCAACAGCTTCTGTACAATAACCCATAATGCTGGATATAAAATTGGGATCTGTTTTTGTAACCAGAAATTTTCGTATCCTTGCTTAAACATTGGTTTCAGCTCCTCATTTGTGGATAATTCAATAAGTTGCTCCTGTAGTGGCATGTACTCATCTGCATTTGTGCTCTGAGTTTGACTACTTACAAAAGGGTTCAACACCCAGTCGGGAATATCCAAGTGAAGAATGTTTTCAAATCTTTGAGTAAGGTCCGAATGGAGTGCCGTTAAGTGTTGGCAATAAGCAAGCAACTTTTCGTCTCTATTTTGCAATTTCGAAAGATTTGGAAACTGAGAACATTCTCCTCTTCCCAAGTTTTGTTTGTATAGCAAAAGTTTTGCAACAAAGGCAGATATTACACTTTTAGTTTTGATTAAATTTAGTGTGTCACCTTGTAGTTTCAAATTAGTCTCGTTGAATCTGGCAAATAAATCAGTCATATAAGCGATGTCATTTTTCGAGATAATTAAATTATGACGTAAATCATTGTCTTTACTCTCCAGGAATTCCAACACTGAATCAAAAAGCGAATAGAAGCGATTCAAACACGCACCTTTAGACAACCATCGTACTTCTGTGTTAAGTAGTAAACGATTATAGTCATCATCATTTTCCAAACAAAGTTGAGCAAATAATCTCTCATTTAAGGCATTCCTTTTGATTTTATTAATTGCTCTAATGACATAATGTAGTGATTCATGCAAACGTCCACTAAGGTTTTTTGCGACCAAATGATGTCGATGAATAACACAATGTACCGATAGTACATTCGGTATGACTTGTTTTAAGTACGCCAGAAAGCCTCGGTGTCGTCCTACCATTGCCGGAGCACCATCAGTAGCAACGGAGATGATATTAGTCAAGGGTATAGCTTTTACATCAAGAAATCTTTTTAATTCAGTAAATAATGTTTCACCTTTCGTATCAGTTTCCAAACATTTAGCAAATAACAATTCTTGGGAAATTTTTTCTTCTTTCACAAATCTCACATAAGCTAAAAGTAAAGCCTCATTTCCAGGTAATGTTGACTCGTCAAGCTGTATAGAGAATTGAGATGTTTTTAAGTAGTCACATAAAGAGTTTTCCACACTCTGAGCCATTTCGTCGATCCTTCTTCGTACTGTATTATTACTCAATGGAATTCTTTTTATAATATCGTAAGCTGGTTTGTGCATCACGGTGCGTATTACCTCACTTATAGCTGGTAGAATAAGTTGTTCGCCAATAGTGTGCGGCTTTCCGGACTTCGCAATCATTAAAGAAATATTATAAGACGCACGAGTTCTTGCAATTTCGGTGTTTTCAAATATTTTTCTTTGAGTGTTTGAAAAAACGTTAAATCCTTATCTTTTTTGTCACTATGGATTTTTATTAAATGTTCCTTAAGCTTAGAAGGTTTCATTGAATCGTTTTATTACATAGAAGACAGAAAGGTAAAGTACTATTTCCTAGTGACGGAATCAAGCCAAATTTAATATATTCAATACTGTATTGTCTGCATTTTTTCTTCGGTTCACTCATACTGTTATCTGAAAAAAGGGCACAAAACGATACAGGAAAGTACTTATATATTGTAATGTTTTACTTGTGTGTTTGTACACAATTTAATAATTTAACTATAAATTTGGGTTTCTTTTAATTTGTGAGACTCTTATTAAACTCAGGGTTTCGGGCAAGTTCAGGTTCAAAAAGAAAACTAATATCAGGTTCGACAAAAATTCATTTAATTAAACACAAATAAAATTAACTCGTTTTATGAGTAACAAAAAATAAAATTGTTTTCCTAAATTTACTTTAATAATAATGCCTATTTACGAGAGATAACTTTTAAATAAAGTAGATAACTGCGGTTATCGACTGAAATATCGATATTAGAGAGAACCCGTTTATTATTTGAGAGAGAGAGAGAGTAGGATAAAAACTCATTAGAACCGTTCTTAGAAAATAACAAATGGCCGACGTCTTAAATTGTCATCAAACTCGTTGAATAAAAATAGTGTTAAATAAATGAACGTTATTCAAGAAAACTAATAAATCTTCACCCACAAGTAAGTATTGATTAAATTTAATCAAGTAATTGTAGATTTGTTCTTTGAGTTTGATTCTTTATTTTTTCTTTTTGTAGGTTATGTTAAATAATAAAATAAAATTATCATCACACTCACTGCGAAAAAGAAAGGATTGGAGTTCAATGTGGTATCTGGATTATGGATTGTCTCTTGTGTTCGGAGTACGATCTAGTTTTCTGGGTTTTCTACAGGATTCTTCTTACGGGAAATGGAACTGTTTGTTCTTCGGAAATAGGGTCTTGGATGATTTCGAAGAAGTATCAGGAGTTCTCGGAATAGGTTGTAGGATGATTCTCTTTTTATTTTATATATCGTAAGTTGATTTGACTTTAAAAAATTATCTTAATTTTTGAGGTTATCTCTTAAGATTCAAAATTTCTTCTATCTGACGACGTGGATTCAACGCTGGTGAGACGACGACTGTCTCGCTCCCTGTTCGCGATCTCATTATATACGCCGGCACTCCAACTGTTTTTTCCTCGTTTCTGATTGGCTCATAGCTTCGCGCCCTTTTCAAAATTCAAAATTCTTGCATCGAAACTAGCGTCATCTCTTGATTTTTCTCGGAATTAACCTTCAAAATTAAATTCTTTTTTCGTTCATTTCTCCCTTATTCCTTTATGAAACGTAATAAAACTTCGTATTCAACGTTGTATTTTCTTGTTTTCAGACATACATTGGAGTACACGCCAAATTTCAACAATGAGTAAAGTTAAATTCAAAGTTTCAAGTTAAATTAAAATTCAAATTTAAATCAAGGATTTCTTCCTCAAAATAACGTTAAAACATCAAAGGATGGATGAAAAATGTGCTTTAGGGGCTGAACTATAATAATTGATACTTTTGGAAGCAAACAAAACGGTTTAAGATAAAATTTTCACCAACAAAAAATCTCTCTGCCACAATTTTAAGGTTATGTTCTGTTTTGCAAGAGTTTAGAATTTACTCAGTTAATTAACAATGAAAATGAATTGTTTCGAATAAAATAAAATGTCATTGAATTAGAAAGAAATAGTCTTACTTTTCATTATTTGAAGCACTATCACTGAATTAAACTTTATATGAGGCGATCTGAAGAAGTTACTTGAGAAAAACGAAAAATGAGAAGACGCACTT